TATATCTATAGAGCTAGAGAGGATTTATACTATCTTAGAATAGCTAGAACTATAATACTTATATAATATATAATAATTTATTAGCTTTAGTAATTTTTACTAGTAATTTATTAAGAATTACTTATATATTACTATATCCCTATCTAAGTTAATAAAGGGTATTCTAAAGAAGAAGGGTATAAATTATTAAAAGTAAGGCTTTATCTTTATACCTAAAGTAAGGGTAGCTTTTAAAGAAATAAAGAAACGCTTCTTAAATATACCTATATTATTCTACTTTAACCTAGAGAAGCCTATATAAATTAAGCTAGATACTTTAGGATTTACTATAGTGGTAATTACTATATAGTTAGATTCTAAGGGTCGCTAGTACCTAATTACTTTCTAGTCTAGAAAGATAATTAGTACTAAAATATACTATAAAATATATAATTTAGAACTACTTATAATTATTAAGTTATTTAAGTATTAGAGATATTATCTTAAGGGTAGTAAATTCCCTATATTAGTACTATCTAATTATACTAACCTATAATACTTTATAACTATAAAGGAGTTAACTAGGTATTAGGTAAGGTAGGTAGAGAAGCTTACTATATTTAACTTTATTATTAAGTACTACTTAGGAACCTTAAATCCTACTAATATACCTAGTTACTAACTAGACTATATACCTAAAGAAAGAGAGTTCTTAAAGAACTCGCTTTTACCTACTCTTTAGGAAAAGCTATAAAAGAGTCTTAGTAATAATAAAGAAGTAGTATAAAGGTTATAATCTACTCTAATATATAGGGTTATAGTAATACTAGACCTAAAATTATATATCTCTATAAGGGTAGCTAATATAATATTAGTACCTAAATCTAATTATCTATATAGTATAGTAGAGGACTATAGTAATATAGTATATAATACCTATAATATAAGTATTATAGATAAGTATTATACTATTGGTAATATAGGAATTCTAGACTCCCTAGTACTATACCTAATAGCTATAAGAGCTTTTTAAGGTAAAATAGTATATATATTAGTACTAAAGAACTCTATAGTAGAATTACTCTATATAATATAGGATTATAATCTAATATTATAGGATATCTATATAAAAATAGAGGAGGATAGTATTAGTAAATAAAAGCTAAGTAATATACCTTAGGGATTAATACTAGATAGGCTACTTAGGTTTAATAACTATATTTATATCTTAAGAGAGACTATAATCTTATATAAAATTATAAAGATATATTATAATAACCCCTAGGGGAGCTATTATACTAGTAAATATACCCTTAAAACTATCTAGTATAAGTTCTATTAGTATAGAATTATAAAGGATATAAGGGAGTATATATATAACTATATAAGTTATTAATATAATTCAGTTTATAGGTATAAGCTATATAGATTATTATAGCTATTACTAATACCTAAGAGGCCTAGTAAGTAGCTTAGTATAGATTTTATTATTAGAATACCTCTATTATAGTAGAATAGTAAGGTATATAACGTAGTACTTATCTTAGTAGATATATTTATAAAGTATACCCTTTATCTTCCTTATATAAAAGAAATTAATATACCTAAGTTAGTAGATTTATTATATAAATGTATAATCCTAATCTTTAGTATATTAGAGAACCTAGTAAGTAATAGGGATAGCCTATTTATTAGCTAGTTCTAGTTAACCTTTTATTTTCTCCTTATAGTTAAGTACTAGTTATCTACTATATTCTACCTATAAACTGATAGCTAGACTAAACGCTAAAATTAGGTATTAGAGTATTTCCTTTAGTTATATATTAACTAGGAGTAAGATAACTAGGTATACTAGCTACCTATCGTAGCGTTTATATATAATATAATAACTTATAGTATAATTAGAAAATCACTATATAAAGTATTAATAGGTTATAACCTATCTATCTAAGATAATATTAAAGAGTACCCTAAGGAGTACTATATAGATACTATATAGAGGGTATAGGAAATCTAAGAAATAAGGGACTTTATAAAAGAACGACTTACTAAGGTAAAAGAGTCGATAAAGCACTATATAGATAAATACTGTATAGATAAATCCTTTAAGGTTAGTAATTAGGTATATCTTAAGAGTAAGAATATAGAAATAGGTAGGCCAAGTAAGAAACTAGATTATAAAATACTAGGTCTATTTCCGATTCTTAAGAAGATTGGTATATAAGTATATAAGCTACGTCTATCTCCCTATTTTAGATTACTATACCTAATATACTATATATTAGTATTAGAATTATATTATAGTAATACTCCGACTAATAATAATACTCCTAAACTAATTAAGATTAATAATTAGATAGAGTATAAGATTAAATATATCCTATCCTATTGAGGTAAGAAGAATAAGTCTTACTTATGAGATCTGACGGCCACTGCTCCGCACGGTTACCCATTAGACCAAAAGGTCATAGCAAAGTCAGTTTATAGGAACTGACTTTACTGCAGTGGTATATATATATAGGTGCCCCACTACATGGGATCACATCCTCCCCTACTAAATGCAAATCATACCTGGGATTTTTGCCTAATTTTTAAGGTTAATCTTATTAATCCTTGGGCCGGAATCGGTCAACCAAGCCGGAAGATTACTATCTCTGGTTTCTTAGTAAGAGAGGCCACGTGTATATATATATCGCCCTCTAAGGGACCCATGTAAGAGCGAGGCAGAACTCGAAGCAGCTTAATGTGGACCTTGTCCGGGTTGAGTATTAGAGGCTATTATATAATCAATCTAAAGGCATGATTATAATAATAGGTAGATAAATTCCATACGCGCCGGAATCGAACCACAACCCTCTAAGACCCGGTCATGAACTGACTTTATGAGATCCGACGGCCACTGCTCCGCACAGTTACCCATTAGACCAAAAGGTCATAGCAAAGTCAGTTCATGGGAACTGACTTTACTGCAGTGGTATATATATATAGGTGCCCCACTATATGGGATCACACTTGGTTAAGTAGTATAGCTATAATAATATCGAAGTAACCTAGGAACCGCAGTCTACAGTCAAAGAGACTAAGGCCCTTAATAACTATAAGGCTAGGTTAAATATAGCTATAAAGATACTAAAGAAGATAAGGACTAAAAATATATACTCAAAATATAAGAAGCTTTAATTATAAATTAAAAATTAGCACTACGCTCCCTATACTTAATAGGATTTATATATAGGCGCAGATAAGGTTAGTATACCTAGCTAGACTTAAATACTAATAGGACGGTATTAAAAACGCTATAGAGTAGTAAAATAGACTCTATAATTAGGGTATCCTAAGAGGTAGGGGCTAAGTTTATAGGGGTAAATAAAGTATCGCTAGGTATACCTATATTAAGAACTACACTTTCTTCTGCTAAACTAGTAGGGGTATTAAAGAATTCTTTAACTTTAGAGATATCCCCTATATTTTTTATAACTTCTAGGGCTATAATAACTTTAGTAACTACTATAACCTCTATAACCTCTATAGCTTCTATAATAGTAGCGGCCTTTTTAGCCTTATTAGCTATATAGGTTAAGTACTTAATACTCTACTTAATAATATATACTTAGGGTATATAAGTAGATATAGGTAATATATTAAGAGTAGTATAGGTAGTAGGCTAAACCTCAATAGGAAGCTATATTATTATTAGTAATAGATTCCTCCCTATAATAATATAGCTAACTTATAGGTATATAACTATACTTTACTAAAGTATAGTAAGTATATTTAGTATAACCTATAAGGGTCTTATACTTATAGTTTAGGTAGCTTTATAACTAGAAAAAGTACTACTAGTAAGGTAGTAGTTCCTTAATAGGCTTAGGGGTTACTAGATAAGATAGTAGAGTTATAGGTTAGCGGCCTAATATATAACGGTACTATACCTATAGATATAGAGTTTTATCCTCCTTAGAGGAAGGTAGTATAGGATAATAATATACTATTACTATACTATAAATATAGTTAGTATATAAACTAGAAAATAAGGCTATTTCCTATAAGAAAGGGATAGATATAATATTAAAAATTCTTAGTATACTATATAGAATATAATACTACTAAATTTAAATATATCTACTAACTAATAGTAGTATCCTAACTAGAATGGTTTTATCCTAATAGAAGTACTATTAAATTAATAGAATTTTAATAAAAAAATAAACTAGGTATACTTATAGATTAAATAAGATAAGAGATTAAAGAAGAGAAGAAGATACTAGGGTATACCCTAGGTATATATAGGTATAGTATCTCCCTTTATCCTAACTATATTCTCTTACTAGTAAATAACTGCTTAGCTAACCCTTATATATATAAGATACCTAAGTTTATAGGTATTAGAGACTATAGCTACCTAATTTCTTAGTATAGTTATATAACTATACTATATATAGACCTCGTTATATATACTATACCCTCTATTTATACTTCTATTATATCACTTTTTATATTTTTAGAGTATTAAGGCTAGATACCTTTCCCTATATACCTTTTTACCCTTACTATAAGGTTTTTTAGATATATAGGTTTTAATAGACTAAGCTACTCCTTTATTCTTCTCCTATTCTAAGCCTATAGGGACTGTATACTATAAGGAAGGGGATATTATTAGGACCCTAGTACTAAGAAGGCTGATACCTAAGGTATAAGCCCTATTATAGGGTATAGAGTACCTATCCTAGGTATATAGGGGACTAGGGACTAGATAGGAGTAATATATACTACCTATATAGCCTCCTTAGGTTATATAACCTATAAACCTATATATTATCCTTATATACTACTTCTTTAGGGAAGCAGCTATTAGTTCTAATATACCCTACATATATCACTATCTCTATTTCCCGATCCTCCATTATATATAGCATTCCCTTAGGTATTCTATACCTAGGGGTCTCACAAAAAAGTAAATAATAAAGTTAAAAATAGCGTTAGAAATAGAAAAAATATAGATAATTGTCTTATTAGTATGATTATAGGAAATCGATAATACTGATATTAAACTTACTATCGGTTATAGAGGCCGGAGGCTTATCCTTTAGGTAGCCAAGAGCCTAAAGTGCATTATAGACTTCTAAGACCTAGGGGTTCAGACTTGTAACTTAGTATTTGTAGATTTGTTTAAAGGTACTATAAGATTCTATGATTAGTAATATATATAGCGATTATGATATAGAACGCTCACGCTTTTAATTTATCTAATCTAAGTTATTGTTAGAAAAGTGGAAAAAGACGATAGGGATGCCTAACTTACTCTACCTTTATAGCTTCTTACTATAACCGCTACGACTCGACTAAGAATTTTGCCTAGTAGGCTGTCTCTAATACCTTATTAATCTCGGGCACAGATATCGGAATAGAATGGGCTGAGGTTAATTCATCCGATGGTTAGATAGGTAGTGTATTTGGAGAAGATACCTCCTCTTCAATTAGTAGGAGCGGGAGGAAGGAAAGAAGGCTTTCTGGGTAGTTACTAATCATCGGGACGAGGGTTAGGTCGCAAAAGGAACTGAATGCCGCAATATCCGGCATATCCTCTAGGTTGCTAAGAAAATTTTCAAACGGCTCGCTATCAGTATTCTGATCCAGGCCTGCCAAGAGGCGCTCAAATTGTTTGTCACTGAAGCTTCCCATGGTTGATCTAGTGAACAGAAAAAGCGTTATGAATCGGATGATTGCAGAGTTTCTACCTTTTAAATCTTATTGAGCCACGATTCCCAAGCGGCTGTGCCGCAAAGATCGTGGTCTTTACAGCGGCCCCTTCCTGAGTCTAACATACTGCCAATATGAGCCCTTTGCATATCCCTGTCTGTCACATGCAGGTGTGTATCACATCTCACCACTTTTAAAGACGAAGCGCTTCTATGAGTCCACGAGATTTCCAGAACCCTTCTGTATACCTTCCTAGAAAAAAATTGTACCCCTCAAAGATTACGAGACATCCGCGGATTGCTGAAGGTTTGCATTTCCTGGGCCTAATTCCTTCTTATAGATTCTGATTTCTTTTATAGCTATGGACTCCATAAATCCAGTATCTGAGCTCTAATATTTACGAAAAGCGCTTATAGAGAACCAAAGAACTATCGATGAATTGAATAAGAAGATTTAATATCTGAAACAGACATTGGAGGGCTATAACGCAATACTATTGCGATGTCTAGTTGCACTTAGGCAGAATAAGAAGTAATCAAATATCTGTATACTTCCTTTTCCTTGGCCTCCCGGCTTACTGCCCTTCATATATAGGATAACCTCCACGAGAGTTTAACTTATGATCAAGAGACCTAAAACTCCATTCTAGTCCTTATTATTCAGTAAACCATTGAATCTTATTTAGGAAGGCACTAAGTCGGTATAGCTCGCTACCAAACCGAAGTGATAGTATGAAAGTGTCCTTTATATCCTAGACAATGAATCGTACTGGTCGGAAGTATCGATCGTAATACTGGCAAATATCCTCAGTCATTAATTAAAGACCTAAATTTATTCTATCTTTATAGAATTCCTTAGCGGTAGAATCAAGCTTATCTAGACATCCAATTATATACCGCGCTAGAGCTCAATAGTGAATTGAACTAATACATTGTATTAGACCAGAAAAATATTCTAGCTTAGTATCTAGGTAAAAGAAGAAAGACGTCGTAAGTAACAAGATAACCGTATCTCTCTATATTCGGTTACCTAACAGATTATTACAGATAAGCTTTAACAGCCTATCTATATATTCGGTATCGTCCAGTCTAGGTAATCTACTAGGAATAGACAAGTCAAAGCGAAAGTAATTCTCTCGATAGGTATCATCGACTACCCCTAGAAATTCCTTCTAGTTATTTTAGCCCTCAAAAGATAAAGAGATAGACCGGTAGATATATAGAAGCTACCCGTCTAGAAGTATATTACAGAACCGTAGGACTATCGGAGAGAGGCTCTCAGTTTCAGATCCTATCCTAAGGGAAATAAAAATATCAGGATTAGGGCAATTCAGCCATAGATACTTTACTTCTAAGAGAACAAGGTTAATTGGATTATTATATCTTCTTATACTACTGTCTTAGAACAATCTAACTCTATCAATTTCAATAGTAGGAAATAAGCTATGGTATATTAATATAGTATTATTAAACTAACATTAGAATCTACTTACTATAGAGTAGTAGTAGTAGCATAAGCTCTAGAATCAATTTAGCGGTAATTATAGTATTAGGAGATTATTTACTTATACTTACCAAACAAACAGTTCGCTTATACTATTAGGCCGGAGCCTCCTATAAGCTATCGATATATTAGAATAAAATAAGCTTAGAAAGTATAACCAGAAATCAAACCTAATTAAGCCCTATAAGGCGCTACCCTATTATAGTTAGTAAATATAAACGGAGCCCCTACCTTAATCTTACTTACAGATACAGCGACCTTCCCAGCCGATATATAAGCCTGTGGTATATTAAATATACGCCTTATCGCGCTATAATGATCCTATAAAGTATCTTTAAGAGCCTTAATATTATATAAACCATCTGATAGCTATAATCGAAGTAATTATTTCTTTCTTACTAGCGAAAGCACCTTTTTAGCCAAATCTTGAAAGAGGGAATTGTAAGATATGATATCTATATAAAGCATAAACTTTAAGAGTACTATAAGCCTACTAGAACTGTAACTAACTATAAGATCAATCATATCATAAAGGGATAACTCAGAACCTAATAGTTCCTATAGGATCTCAAGGTTCCTAAGTAGGATAATACCACACAGTCTACCTCTATTAATACTCAAAACCCGAGTGGCGCATATAGCTGGCTTTATATAAACTGTTAACAGCTTAGTGGCCCTATAGAGAGTATAGTATAGAATAAGATACTTATCCTCTGCTAACAAAGAGATATCTCCAAATATCATAGCACAGATATCATAGATAGAATAACCGCAAGGAAGCATATTATCAGGACCCTAGTACTAAGAAGGCTGATACCTGAGGTATAAGCCCTGTCATAGGGTATGGAGTACCCATCCTAGGTATATGGGGGACTATAGACTAGATAGGAGTAATGTATACTACCTATATAGCCTCCTTAGGTTATATGACCTATAAACCTATATATTATCCTTATATACTACTTCTTTAGAGAAGTAGCTATTAGTTCTAATATACCCTATATATATCACTATCTCTATTTCCTAATCCTTTATTATATATAGCATTCCCTTAGGTATTCTATACCTAGGGGTCTTATAGTTCTAATAGCTCTTAAATACTTAGATTACCTAATAGAGACTATCCCTTGTTTATATTATATCGAATTATTATAATATATAGTTATAGGGACTTCCTATAATACTATAGCCTAATAAATAGGCTTTAACTAATTAAACCCTTCCTCCTACTATAAACTATCCTCCTATAGATATCTTAGAGTTAATATAGGAAACTACTATACTACTAGATCTAATACTAGTATAGTACCCTATAAACCTATCCCTATTAATACTTAATTAACTAAGGAAATATATTAAAGAAGCTAAGGTAAGAGAGGAATACTAAAACCTCCTTATAGAATTAGAAATCCTAGAGTAAGTAAAGCCTCCTACTCTAATAAGTATAAATAACTATATTATACTATAGGTTATAGAAAAATACTATATTTATATACTAAGAGAGCCTATAAATATCAAACTATTCTATAGAAATATAACCTAGGAATACTATACCTTTATTAACCAACTTTAGTTATACTTTAATAAGTACTAGTAATAGTATAATTTCGGCCTATATAAGGTAGAGGCTATAGTTAAATAACTAGATAACTAAAGGAATAATAATTAGTAGTCTTATATAAAGATATTTAAAGAACCTACTACCTAATAAGACTTCTAGGACTTCTGCCTATATCTTATAAATAATCCCTAAAATATCTACTAAGATAGTATACTAGAGTATAGTACTCTATAGTAGAAGTAATATTAATCTATATAGATATTTATAATATAGCTTAATACTATCTATTATTACCTAAAGTACCTATATAGTTAATAGTACTAGAAGGAATACCTCTAGGCTAAAGTAATCGATACTATTTATACTAAGTTATTAAAATAGTCTACTAAGCTAGAAATATATAAAGTATATATTGGATACCTTTCTATAGTAGAAAGCTAAATCCCTAATTAATAAAAATCACTTTATATATAGAAAGAGAAAAGCGCTAGTAGTAGTAAGAATAATATTACTAAAATAGATCTAAGCCTAGATATTAGTCTTAGCTCTTATATCTTATTTATATTAGGTATAAAGAAATATAAGGATAAGTCTAAAAATAAAGGTAAAGATAAGTAGGGTAAAAAACCTAATAAGAAGTATAAGTATAATAAATAAAAAATAAATCCTAATAGTATCCCTTATAGTAGCTACTTTAAGTATAGAAAACCAGGTTACTATATAGATACCTATAAAGAGACTAAGGGGGATTTATAATTAAAAAACTAAGTACCCTAGTACTTATAGTATTAGTAGTATTAGGGCTTAATAGTATTAAATAAGAGTTAGAACTTACTTTTACTTATAAAGTTAGTATTAAAACTAACGATAGGGAGCGAACTATATAGATACTAATAGATAGTAGGGCTAAGAAAACCTTTATTAGTTAGAACTAGGTTAAATAGTACCTTCTATATATAGATATAGGCCTCCTAAAACCTATTATAGCTATAGATAGTTATATAGTCTATTCCTATAGCTCTTATAAGCTAAATAGCGAGCTATAAGATAGTAGGGATATAGTATATAACTATATACTTTCCTATAAAGTAGTTAAGATAATAGGTTATAATATAATTATTAGCTATAACTAGCTAAAATCTATTAATCCTAATATTAATTAGAAAAACTAGGTATAGTATTATTACCTATCTAGTAAGAAGATTAAAAAGATAACTATAGTAGCCTTTATATAAGAGATCCTCTATAGGGCCCTTATACTTATAGTATATCCTTATCTAATTATAAAAGGTAAGCCTATCCTACTCTTTACTATAATATAAGGTATAGAGAAAGCTTTACCTATCTAGTATTTAGACTAGGCTAATATCTTTAATCTAAAAGAGGTAGAGAAGTTACTAGAGAGTAATAAGTATAACTATACTATCGAGATAGAAGTAGGTAAATAAATTCCCTATAAGCTAATTTACCCCCTTTCTAAGATAGAACTTATAGTACTTTAAGATTATATTAAAGAATATATTAAGAAGGGCTAGATTAGGCTATTATAGAGCCTAGTAGGTATACCTATTTTATTTATACCGAAGAAGGATAGAGGGTTATATCTATATATAGATTATTAGGGACTTAATATATTAACTCTTAAGAATCGGTATCCTCTACTACTAATTAGTAAGACTATAGATTAGCTATCTAGTATAAAGATCTTTATATAGCTTAATTTAAAAGATATATATTATTATATCTAAATTTATAAGGGTAATAAATAGAAAACTATATTCTAGACCTAATATAGTTATTTTAAGTATATAGTTATACTATTTAGATTAGTAAATATACCTATAATATTCTAGTTATATATTAATAGAGTATTAAGCGATCTACTTAATATCTACTATATTATATACCTTAATAATAT